CATGAATCCTACCCACAATCCTCCACTGCAGTCACATGACAAACAGCCAAACACAGCAGAATGCTACAATATGCATTCTCTGTTCCCTGACAACTAAATATCACCTACATTATGTCATCAAACTATTGCACACCAACAAATGTATTCAAGCAAAAGAAACCAGACAACTTATGTTTTATTTCCACCATGTCTTGTCCTCTCCTTGAAAAGTGAAGCAAGGTGTAGGCGGGGTTACTTATGCAAATAAGCCCACCTTACATCTTCCCATAACTAAGTTATGAGAGTAAAATTTACCAAGGTTTTCCTCATTACTTTAAAATTTGTCTGTGCAAAGTGAAGTGACACAATGAGGGAACTCAGACTGGTTCAAGTTGATTCATAAAAGATTATGCAATCATTTATTTACACAAATTGAACAAAATCATAAATTACACCTGATTGTGAGTTTCCTACTAAGAGTCTAAGTAAATATGATAAAACCCGCGTCCGAATTTCTTTCACATTCACCCAGATTACTTATATAGACAGTAAACATCAGGCTGATGTTATAACCAAACAATTTACTGGCACTTTCACTTAGAGTTGGCAAGGATAAAGGGTAAGAAAAGGTAAGAAATTTAAGGGTTAGTGTTTCTGCTTTTATTTTTGAAAATCTGTAGACAACCGTTTCAGCACGTCCTCTCTGCTCTCAGCTTCAACTTGACATGTCACCCACGAACATGTCAGCGTTACCTGGTGATGTCCGCTTAAGAACCCCTGGTATGGCTGTCTCACCACGACCCTCTAGGATGCTTGTCCAGCTGGTCCTTGGCGAAAAGGTGTCTTTCAGGTGACTGTTCGTCTGTTTCAGCCCGGCTAGAAAGATTCCAACTGTGGTTCCGGTCGTCTCTCAAAATAAAAGTCTCCCCTCAGGAGTCGAAAACACTTTAATGAGACGTATGTCTCCAGGTGGACATGAAGGCGGCTTGCCTCTGTCCCGGCCGTCAGGTTTTCCCTATTTGGCTGGATGGGTGAAACCTGAGGCCCAGCTGTTCTCCGGAGAGAATCAGCTCGTCTTCCCCTTTGGCATCCAGGAAGAACTCTGCCAATGTCTCTAAGGCGTCCGTGTTAGTCAGGGTCGGAGCCTCAGATAAGCCCTCAGTCAGAAAGGAAAAGAAAAGATAAGAGAGTTGCCAGACGCCAGTCAAGGTCACTGCTCTGTAGCTGTTTTAAACAGACATTATAATAATATCTTCTCTGCTTCTTTCTGCTGGACTGTAAAAGAAACCACTGTGAAACATTTATAATGATTAATTAACACCTGTTTAAATAATCATTCTGAACCTGTGTCCAGATAAATGTAAGATTTTCTTAAGAAAACTCAAAATTATATTACTGATGTTTCAGTAAAATAAAACAGTGATTTACTGTATATAAAAACACAATGAAAACATGGTGATGATTTTCTGTGATTTTACACTATTCATTAATCTATTTTAGGCACGATAAAAGAATAGAAGTGATTCTTTCTTTCTTTGTGACATGTCATTATTGTGATTAACAGATGCATAAACATTCTTAGTTAAACAACCAATGAATCACAAACAGAACAGATTGTTTCTGTTTAATATCTGATTAGGAGAACTGAAGTCCTCCACCACAGGTTGAAATGACCCATCATGGCCTAAAATAAAGTTCAGTGTTCCTGCCTTCTCTCAGGCCTGTCCGAGACCTGTTTGAGGCAGTAACTCCTGTTTCTTCACTCGAGGTGACCCCTACAAAGGGAATGAGGAGCAGCAGCCTTTGTGTGTGCATGCACCCTCAATTTTAGCCCAGAAGAGTAGAAGTTACTTAATATATTCATGTTTATGTGCTGTCCAGAAAAAACACTTAAATATAACTGGTAACATAATATTAGCATTTAATTTTTTTCTACAGTAATATTGATATATAATATAATGCAAATTTTTTATCAAGTAAATTCTAGTAATTTAGAAATTTTGATATTTTTTTTTGTAAAATTTAAAAGAATAATTAAATAAATGTTACTACACCCAAAAATCTGTTTTTTCAGTGTAGAGGAACTGGTGGATAGGGGATCCCTGTTCCTGGTGTATAGGGGTGTGCCTGAATAAGTTGAAAGGCGAACAGGGTGCTGTGAACCAAAGTAGCCGGGCATGTGGGGCACCATAGCCTTTTTTTTTCACTTCAGTAGAAAATGAAACCAAATATTTTTAGTTTATTTAGTTTATTTATTTCTTCATCATCAGTGACTTTTATTAAGTGAGGAGAAAATAGGGAAAGAGAGAAAAACAGAGAGAGAAGTAATTAGAAAGATTGAAATAGCGATTAGAAGTAAATTAAATATGCACCAAGAAAACACAGGACCACACACCCAACATTTGTCCGCTCACCTGAAAAATAAATGGATAAATACATAGAAGGCATATATAAATATATACATATACCCATACATATATTAAGATATACATACATACATGCCTACATTCATAAATATTGTCAGTATATACACACAGACATATTTACACACTCAGTGACCAGTCAGAACCCCCCGGATCAGAGCACCTGTTTGTGAGCAGTTGTGAACATGCGTGTATATACAAGATTTCTCCAATGGAGTATTTAATAGTGACTGTGGAGGACCGAGACCCAACCCCCAAGACACGAGGCAGACATAGGGAAGACCAGAGCCCAAGGGCCCGAGAGGGATCCCAAGCACAGAGCCCCAAGGGGCACCCGCACGGGAAAATCCACCCACCCACCCTCCAGATCAGACCATAGGGGAGAACAGGGAGAGTCCCCCCAGCGACCACACGCACAGCCCCCCGAGGCCAGCAGCGACAAACTCATGGGCCCCACTGGCACCCGCCATACCAGAGCAGATCCAGGAAAGGGCACAGAGGTCCGGGCCCCCAGGGCGCACCACCTCCAAGCCAAAGCCCGACAGGGCCAGAGGCCCCGAGCCCCAGCAGGTAGTCACCAGGACAGGCCGGCACACACCCCAGCGCCCAGCCCCAGACCCTGAGAACCACCAGCACACCGGCGGCCAGCCGCACACCCCACCGGGGGACCGAGTAGCAGCGGGCCCCCAGATAAACCAGCAGGAGGGGCAGCCCAGACCCCAGCCTGACAAATACCCAAACAAAACAAAAAACAACTGGGTTTTGTTTTTACCCAAACAAAACCCAGGCACCATCAACACTCGTCAGCCGTCTACCCCCGGTAGATGGAAAGTTGACAAGTACTTTTAAAACTGAGCAGACAAGGGACTGGCCCCCCAGTACCCAGCATTAAAAGGGGTACTAAAATATCTGCCTGTGGCACATTGGACACAGATGTTGCAGGTGGCCTGTCTGGTTGGAACCAGGCTGGATGGGCCAGCAGTACAGTAACTGGAACAACCATTACTCTGTTCTCGGGACCTGATACCTATGTGTCGGGCTCTGGGCAATCGGAGAGTTTAGTGCCTTGGGGCTCAGTGACAGTGAGGACTTCTTGCCTCTGCTGTTGCTGGGTCTGCAGGGAATACTCAGTGCATGGTTAGCCCTTTGACTGCACCCCACTGGGGAGTGGCCAGGGCCTCACAAATGCTGGGGTTTTCAGGTGATGAGGACACTGGCATGTTGTTGGGGAGTAGTATGTTCCACATTGGGAATATCATGCAAATGTCTGGAGCAGCTCTCAGAGCGCTATTTAAAAAAGGATAACCCAGCTGCTTTTAAAACGAGATTGCAGGTCAAAATTTACACTGAACCAAAACATAAATAAAGCACTTTTGATTTTGCTCCCATTTTTTTTGAGCTGAACTTAAAGATCTAAGACTTTTTGTATATACACAATAAACCTTCCTTCAGAAATTTGTGTATATCTGTGTTAGGGGGCACTTCTCCTTTTCAGATATGTAGGAGTTTTTGGGTATATTCTAAAAATGGATAATTTGTGAATATGCAGTATATATAAATATATTATATTCATATATATTATTCCTCGAGGCACCACGCTCTTTAATTCGGTCCAGGATTGACCCAGGAAAGAGACGAAAAACTGTAACTTAATTGTAATCAGTCTCAGAATAAATTTACCTAAAATGATTTTATAAGTTCTTGTCTTATCAGAA